GAAAGAAGTAACCAGTGGAGAAGGAACTGGTGTCAGGTGGAAGTTGTAAGCCCACACAGTTCAGCATAAATCTGGTAAGCTGGACAAAGGTCTCCTAAATATTAGGAGAGATGAAGCACTTGCAGTTAGGACAAAAGGGAAGCAGTGAATCAGCCTGTGGAACACCTACTTACTACCATAAGTAAGTATGAGGAACTATAGCCTCATGTAATACTTAATAAAAATTATGATCCAAGGAGTGAATTCATGCCACTGAAGTATTAATGCAGAAGTGTACAGGTTGGTCAGGGGGCAGAAGCAAGAGAGGAGCAGAAAGGTGGCAGCTTGCTTACTGAAGCTGCATATCCAACATTGTATGTCCAAATTTTCATAGGGACAGATAAGCTGAAGGAGCTATGTATGAGAAAGATCTGACTGTAACACCATCTAGAAGTGGTCAAAAGCGTCAAGTGGAAATGGTTATTTCTGAATAGTTAAAGAGCCACACAAAGCACAATATTGGTTACAGAGAGGGTTTTAGCTATCCGTATCTCCATATCATGGGATAAAAGTATGATCCTAGTAAAAAAGACAGGAGAACAGTCAAAGAAACTGGACATTCAGAAAGCAGATTTCAACAAACAGACAGAAAGCAATTCCAAGAGAAAAAAGTTCTTAAGGACTTCTTAATGAAACAAAATAAAGGCAGAGTCTTAAGTTTGCTCTTTCTTTTGTTCCTTCACACTGAAATAGTAAGATGCTAACATGGATAATCACAAGCTGACCTTTACATCTTCACAGAAAAAAAACCAGCAGTCAGGAAAAAAGCCACAGTCTCAGGATGGAGTACAGAATAATTGCACAGTTACACAGGAAAAGCAAAAACAGAGAAGCAGAAAGGCAAAGAACAAATACAAATGTGAAAAAACAGAGATATAAAAAGTGTCAGGAAGTTTTATAAGAAGCAAGAGGAACACCACAGAAAGATTTGGTCCACCACTCAAAAGGTAAACAAAAACCTAAACACAGAAAATACTAATGAACCTCACCATGTACTAAATACCGTTTTAGTCCTCCCGTGAAACGAGGCCCACGGGTGAACATTACAAGTCTGCCACTTCCCCCTGCCCTGTTCTGTCCAAAACCCAGTGCTTAGCTCCACGCTGCCACAAGGACTAAATGCCTCAGACAGAGCAAGTAACCCTGAACTTCAGGCCAGACTGAAACAACAAACCAAGAGAGATCCAATGAGAGCTGACACACTTCTCACACTACTCTCATTAACGATTCAGAAAAAGAAACAAGTGAGAGACTCCTAGTTAATACCACTGTGAAAGACATCAAAGTTGGGAAAAGCCTACAGACGGGAAAAGCTTTGGTGAGAGGAGAAGCGGGGGAAGGGGGCGCTGGCACAGGAGGTGCAGCCTAAAGTGAAGGAAGGGATGTGATATGGGCCAACAGCATAGCTCCGGTGCAGAGAAGAGATCTCCTGCTACTGCTCCTGCCCCAATCAACAGGTCACCTGCGACAAGACACTAGAACAAGATGGGAAGACAAACGGGAGTGGCAGAGATGATCACGGGAAGCCTGAAGAGACCAGGGTAAGTGTGTCGTCTCCACTCCAACACCAAGACACTGTCGTGGTGACACTCCACTCACCTTCAAAGCCGGCGCGCTCCAGGAGGTTCAGCGGGTACCAGAGCAGGGGCCGGTTGCCCACCGGGAGCAGCGGCTTCGGGATTTTTTTTGCCGTCCTACGGGACCCCCCCCCCCGCCGCCATCACTACGGCCTGGAACTCCATGCTGCAGAGGGAGCACAGGGGCAGGGCCTCACTCAACCACCGCAAAAGCGGGCAGGCCCGGGCTGGGACAGGCCAAGTCGAGCCGGGGCTAAGACCGGTTCGGTTCAACCTGGCCCTGCTTTAGCCCCCAGCGCTTCTCAGAGGCCTGCGCCGGCTCTCCGCCTCCCCCGCGCCCCTCACAGCCCGTGCGGAGGCGCCGGGCCT